TCTGTACAGAGTTTTCAAGCGCTCATGGATGTCAAGTCCTTTCCTGCAATATTCACATTTTTTTTCCGCTCCATGATGGTCCGCGTTCAGTAACACCGGTCCCATTATATCTTTGATACATGAAATTATATGGGAAAAACAGTCCGCGACCAGCCTGACCATTTGTCGAGAGTTTGCGTCAACAACGAAATTTTTAAAAATTTGCGCCGTAATAGGCAGTACAGAAGATTCTGGTCCGGCCGAAGGTGCTTTGCTGGCAAGCACGCAGGGGAAGTTGTGACGCACGTGGTGAGATTTCAGTCCGGCAACATCACTGCACGCCAACAGGACGTGTGGCACAGGCGCATCCTTCCCAAGAGTGGCCCCATTTCCCGAACACACTCCGATTGGTCTGTCAGCTTCTTCTCTTCCCTTCTTCGTTTCACCTTCTCCACATCTCATAACATCTCCTTCCATACATGTCACCGTCAGTTCTCCAGCCAGCAACCTGCCTCGAGTGTGTTGCAGGGCATCCATTACGTCTTCGCAACTACTCAGCAGAGACACGATTTTTGCAGGAAACTCGTCATTAACAGACCCGACACCCACTTCACTCATACCGTACTCCTCGACGGTTTCCGTACAGTGGCGAATGCAGTCCTCGGCGAAGGCTAAGAGGTCAACGACGCTGCGTGTCGTCATAGGTAGCGAACCTGTGTTGTAATCTTGGCCATTGTACGATGCCCACCCCTCCTTCAGCACACACTTTCCGCAGCTGGCAAGACACATGACATCCCCTCCGTCTGACTCCCCGTTTATTGTCTTCGTGACGTGGGCGGAGAACCGCTTCAAGACTGCGGTGCGCCTTTCCCTTTCAATATTCATCCATGCCTGAAACTCGTCGAACGTGGTGTTCTTCGTTTCAGCAATTGCCTGAAGTCTGGCTGACATGTCCTCCCTCAGACGAGTAACGTCTATATCTTTCATGTTGTCAAGCAACAACCAGAACACGGTGAACATCCTGTGCTCCGCAATTTCTGTCATTTCGTCGAGGAGCGACTTGAGGCGGCGTAGTTCGTCTGACATCACTCTAAGCAGTACTTTCTGCTTATGCACCTCCTCTGTTCGCCTGCCTATATGTTCTCGGTCGCTAACTACAGTCCGACCCCTGTTTCGATCCGTTTCAGGTGTCTTATGGTCCTTGCCGCGTGGGGGAAGGAACTCATCCATCCTTGCATGACACTCTCCGCCCAGCTTTCTTTTCTGTCCGGTCGTGGTGAACCTTGACATCTGGAAAGCATTGTATATACAGTGAAATACGTGGACACAGCAAGAGAGAGAGAGAGAGAGAGAGAGAGACAGAGAGGGAGCCTCACTGCTTCGGTACAATGGCGTCGACGGGGACCTACCAAACACTCTCTATGTGTAAATGTAATGTGGCAACACTAGTATGTACTACTCAACATCTGCGTCCCCCCCCGTACATGAGTCCATACATCACTGAACAACACTGCACAACTCCGACATGGCGGACCCTTATTTCGAAACGCAAGCGTCAGAACCAGGAATTAAGCAAGACATGAACGCCAGAACGCATGCAAGTAAACACATATAAAACGGCTGCGACAGAGACACAGAGAGAGAGCCCTATTCCGGACCCAGAGATAGAGACAATCGCCACGAACAAAGAAACTGTTGGATGGTCCGCCATTCTGATGTTGACCGAAGTTGGCTACTGCGGGCCAAAAATACATATA